TAAGAATGTGCCTGAGATGTGTAGTTTCTTAGGTCTAGCTGGGTACTATTGTCGCTTTGTTCAGGGTTTCTTGATGATAGTCTCCTCACTAACTAAGCTTCTTCAGAAGGGAGTTCCTTTTGTATGGGATGAGAAACGACATAAGAGCTTCGAATAGTTAAAGACTATTCTAACTCAGGCCCTAGTTTTAACCCAACCAGAGTCTGGTAAAGACTTCACAATCTTCAGTGACGCTTCATTAAATGGCCTTGGATGCATCTTGATGCATGAGGAAAAAGTTGTTGCTTATGCATCTCATTATCTTAAACCCCATGAGCATAATTATCTTACCTATGACATTGAGCTAGCAACAGTTGTGTTTGCCTTGAAGATTTGGCGACACTACCTTTTTGGTGAAAAATTTCACATCTTCACCAATCAAAAGAGTCTTAAGTATCTACTCAACCAAAAAGAGTTAAACTTGAGACAACGTATATGGGTCGAGTTACTTAAAGACTACGATTGTGTGATAGACTACCATTTGGGTAAGGCAAAAGTCGTAGTAGACACGTTGAACAGAAAGTCGATGTCAGAGTCACGAGCTCTCCTAGCACGATTGAGTTTAATTAGTAAAGGTGGGTTGTTAGTCGAGCTACGAGTCGAGATAGAGTTAGTTGGCGAGACTAATAGGCTACAAAGTTCAGATTGACAGTTAAAAGCTCAGGTTGAGTCATGTGATAGGGATGTATTGTAGTTTAGGGGTCGGTTATGTGTACCTGTAGACTCTTAGTTGCGTAAGAAAATTCTTCAAGAGGCACATTGTAATCCACTCTTAATTCATCCAGGCAGTAACAAGATGTATCAGGAACTTCGACAATTGTATTGGTAACCGAGCATGAAAAGGGAAATGTTAGAGTTTGTCATTAGATGTCTAGTGTGTCAGTAGGTTAAAACGGAACACTAGGATCTCTCAGGTTTACTTCAGTTCATTCAGATTTAACAGTGGAAATGAGATAGAGTAACCATGGACTTCATGATCGGGTTACCCTTAACCAAACAGAGACATGCCGTAGTTTTGGTCATAGCTGACCATTTAACCAAATCATCTCATTTTTCCCAGTTAGGATGGATTATACCTTAGAAATGTTAGCTCAGTTGTACATCCGTAAAATAGTAAGGCTACAAGAAGTTTCGATCATATCTGACAGAGATCATCGATTCCCTTCTCGTTTCTAGAAAGCCCTTCATGAGCCCTTAGGCACCAAACTAAACTTTAGTATAACTTTCCACCCTCAGACAGACGGTTAGTATAAACGTGTCATTCAGATCCTAGAGGATATGCTTAGGTGCACTATTATATATTTCGAGGGTAGTTGGGAGGACCACATTCTATTAGTGGAGTTCACTTACAACAACAATTTTTAATCAAGCATCTAGATGGCTCTGTATGAGGCCTTGTATGTGCACAAGTGTAGAACTCCACTATGTTATACGGAGCTCAGTGATAGTAAGATAGTGGTTCCAAACTTGATCAGAGAAGTATAGGAGAAAGTTAGGTTAATTGAGAGTCGGTTGAGAGAAGCCTCATATAGGTAAATATCCTAAGCAGATCTGAAGTGTAAGGATACAAAGTTCACAGCAGGGGATAAAATATTCCTCAAGGTTTCCTCATGGAAGAAAGTACTTTACTTAGGGTGTAAGGGAAAGTTAACCCCGCGCTTCATAGGACTTTACGAGGTACTAAAGAAAGTTGGACTAGTGGCTTACCGGTTGGCCTTACCACCAGAGTTGGAGCGCATCCATAATATAATTCATGTGTCCATGTTCAGATTCTGATCATTTTCTCGTTTTACCCCTAGAGTAGATCCAAGTGAGCCCAAACATGAACTATGAGGAAGAACCGATCAAAATCTTAGCTAGAAATGTAAATGAGCTAATAAACAAGAGGATTCCTTTAGTGAAGGTGTTATGGAGGAACCATGGCGTTGAGGAAGTGACTTGGGAAACCGAGGAGGACATGTAGCTTTAATACCCTCACATCTTCTATTCAGGTAAAATTTTATGATGAAATTTTAATTAAGATGAGAGAGTTGTAACACCCTGAATCCTAGGTTAGTAGTTTCAGGTTAACTCGAGATAGAGTTTAGACAAACCCATTAGCTTAAAGGAAACCATGACCCAAGTTTGACTGGAGTTGGGCTTGGTTTGAGCCCAACATGGCAAAAGGGGTATTTTTAAATTATGACCAAGACTTAGAGGACCAAAAGAGGAATTATACCATTTTTATTTTCAAATGCTAAAAACCCATTAATTTGGGTGATCTCATGACTGACTCCTCTATTTTTCTTAGCTCTAATTTGTTTTCTTCTTATTCATTTATCCTTCTTTCCCCCACTCTTTCATGCAACAAATGTGTCAACTTTGCTAGGAAATCATTTAATTTTTGAGATTTCAAGGTAAGAATTAACACCTCCATCTCCCATGCTTCAATTCAAGCTCTCAATGTCAAGTTTTAGCCATTGGAACCAAATATGGGTTCAGTGGGGGTTTCGAAGCCTAAGTGATTTTAGTTCTTTTTTGATAGATTCAGACCTCTAGAAATGTTTTAAACTTCTTTCTGAACTCTCCAACAAAGTTAGTAATCCAAATGCTTGATTCTTGTCTAGTGAGAGAAGTTGAAGAAAGCTCCAAAGCTAGGGGAAATGAGAAACTCACTCTTGGTTGAACCTTGGGTGTTTCCAACAATCTAGACATTCAAGGTAACTCACTTCTAACTCATCTCTACCATATGTAGGTCATTAAGTGTACTTTGGTAGGTTGCATGAGATATGAAGCATATTCATGGTAGATTCAACTTTTGGCTGTTTTCAATATGTTTACAACTTTATTATGACCCCTATATTCAGACATAACACTTTAATAACAATGGGGACCTCAATAGGGACTTTAAGAAGGAAAATTAGTATTTTTCGTGCCTAAAATAGGGCATTTATGAGCACGAGTATCGGTATTAGAAGAACAATATCGATACTATTCTTCAGGCGTTAAAACAAGGGGTTTTGGGCATAATAGTATCGATACTATAGATATGGTATTGATATTGTAGATGTGGTATCAATACTCATACAATGGGTATCGATATTGTAGATGTGGTATTGATACTCGTAGGGTGGTATCGATACCGAGTTTACTTATGTCGATTTCAATAGACAAATTCGTATCGATACTCATGAGAGTATCGGTACCAAGGGTAGAGTATTGATACTCTAGTAGGGATATCGATACTGAGGTATTTTTCAAAACATCAAACCTAAATTTGGTATCGATACTCAGGCCGATATCGATATCCCAACACTAGAGTATCGATATTATCCTCCCTTATCAGCATAGTATAGTTAGTTAGTATCGGTACTAAAAGGTGGGTATCGATACTAAAAGGTGGGTATCGATACTTAGGGGTCAGTATCGATACAGAAGGGTTAAATCGGTACCAACGAACAATTTTGTATAGATAATCCAACGATCAAGGGATTAGACTTGAGGGACTCAATAACATCAGAATATCAATAGATAAAACTACAAGTGGGAACAATAATAAATTTCAAAACAGCTAGAAATAATAACAACTAGGTTAAAACTATTAGCCTTGTTTGTTGCTCGTGAAACGATCAAGATACCCGAGTCCCTTTAGTAAAATACGACAGTCAATTGGATATCTCAGTCAGTTCCAAGACACTTTAACCGCCAGTTGGGCGCAAATGCCCTAAAACTTGACGGAGTAAGTTAGTCGGGTGTACGTTTCTGATGCAGATATGAACCTCACCCAAATAACCAAGGGTATTTTAGAAAGGCTAGAGGGGTTTAGGGTTAGCCATTTCGTTGGTCTCGTGTGATATCATGATCCAATGACCTTCAGGTCGGACTAGATTAGAGTGTTACATGCTTGTTTACAGCCCTACTTACAGATATCCCGGATGAGGTTAAGTGTAAAATGACTCATCACAAGATAGGTGCAAGTTTCCACTGGTAGTTCTATATTTGTAATATTTTTTTTAAAGATGATTATTTCAAATAAGGGAATATATAATTTTTTTAATATATATATATATAATTTTTATGAAAATTTTCAACTAAAATTATTATTAATTAACTCATGACACCTACGTTATGAGTTTAAAAAAAATATAAACACCAACACTAATTAAGATTACGTTATCTAAATATATACATTATTTAAAGACGTAAATACTATTATAATAAAAACATTATTTTGAAATTTTAATTAAGAAGTTCACAAATGAATATTAAAATATACTGGAATGACTTTTTAACATTAAATTTTTAAAAGCTAAAAGATGTTATTAACTTTATCAAGTTATTTAATAAATAACCATTAAATTTTATTAAACTATAAGAAAATGACCATTAAAACTGTCAAATATTATAAAATAATATTTAAATTTATCAAAATTAATATTATTTTATAACATAAAATGATAATCTTTTAATAATTCAATACATTTAATTGTTATTTTATAATTTTTTAAAAAATTTATGATTAAAAACTTATTTTAGTTATAATTTATATACATTATCCATTATAAGTATAATGAAAAAAATAATTCATATCCGACTAAAAGTATAGCAAAATACAAAAATAATTTCAGTAATAAAACAACTATGGGTAATTCAAATTCATATTAAAATAAAAGAATAAAATGTCACAAGAAAAAAGCTGTAAGGGTATTAATGTAATGAAATGACCAAAATAAAGAGAATCAAGGGGAATAAGGGCATTTAAGTCATTCGGACAACTTCAACACCGACTTCCAATAATTTTGAAAAAACACTTGCCAAAAACAATCAAATCCAAACTCTTTTTCTCTTTACTTTCATTTCTCATCCATTTTTGTTATAAGTTTCTTCAAATAATAATAATAATAATAATAATAATAATAATAATAATAATAATAATAATAATGATAATAAAAATAAATCGCAGCGATCATTCGGTCAAATTGAGTTACTGTTTCTGCTTTTTTATAATTTTGTTTCAGTTTCAGATCTGATCGCAGATCTTGAATCTCCGACGAATCTCTTCATTTTCGGATTTTTTCCTTCTCTTATTAACTATTTTGAAAGCGTGAATTTTTGAGTGCTTTTGTTTGCTAGTGTGAAGAGAAGTGCACCAGCCATTCGAATCCGAATTTTCCAAGTTCACTTTCATGTTCTTCCTCGAATTCGGATTTTCTCCCCCTTGTAAGTGAATTTCTATTGTTTTGTTTATTTTATCGTATTGTTATTACACTTATGAAGTTTGATTCTGGAGTTATGATTTTTTTCATGTTTTTATGGTAGGTTGATAAATAAATCTTTAAAGTTGGCTCCTCAAAGGAGATCGCAGCGCCACTTGGGTGGCCAGATGCAGCAAACCAATGCTGCAGCGACGGCTCTCTACGATCACACTGGCGGAGGTGGTAGCGGGTCCTTGCATAATGGGGGTCCTTCCGGTGGCGATGCTGGTGATGCCGTTATGGCGCGGTGGTTGCAGTCTGCTGGATTGCAACATCTGGCCTCTCCCTTGGCATCTAGCGGTGTCGACCAACGCCTCCTTCCCAATCTCCTCATGCAGGTAAACCATCGATCTCCTTTTAATTTCCACTCGCATTTATTTTTTTCTGTTGTTTTCCATTAGTCACAGTCATTTGTTTTGTTCCAATGCATGCAATTTGAATTCGGTTTATGTATATTTTTAATTGCTTTGATTCATTTTAAATTGTCATTTTTTATGAACTTATTTGGTGACGGTGAACGAAATTTGAATTTGGTTAATGTAGATTTTTAATTGCTTTTAATTTGTTTTAAAATTTTATTTTTATGAACTTATTTGGTGAACATTCTCCTGATGCATTCGAATGATGGGAAATTTCTTTTAAGTTTGTACATTGTTCTTCCCCCAATAATGTGCCCTTTTGATTTTTATTTTCCACTGCGTTTGATCGAATGCATATTTGCTTTCTCATTTGCATGTAGAAAATTCATTTTTAGTATTGAAAATTAGGGTCATGACTCGTGAGCCTGTTAAGAAAGTCGGAGTCCATCATTAGTTGATCTTTGCTTGTTTCCTTGTTTTCTGTTAATTTAGTAATTTTCATTTCCTTTCAAACAAACATTCTGTATTCTATTATCTTTCTCATGCAGTTAATCGTTTTTTATTATGTATTCGGGGATGATGAAAAGTTACTATTACATTAATGAAGGGATATGGAGCACAATCTGCAGAAGAGAAGCAAAGGCTTTTTAAATTAATGAGGAACCTCAATTTTAACGGGGAACCTGTGTCAGAGCCATACACACCAACTGCCCAAAGTTTGGGAGGACTTGGGACATCTGATGGTTTCTACTCTCCAGAGTTCAGGGGGGACTTTGGAGCTGGGCTTCTTGATCTTCATGCAATGGATGATACAGAGCTTCTCTCTGAGGTATGGTTATAAGGCACTGAAATTAGCTTTTTATTTTTTTTGATAGGAATAGGAGACCTCATTAAAAACCTCCCTCTTAGTGTTCCTTTACCCTAGGGTAAGAACCAACTTGCGGAAGGAGGAAAAGAGTGTCTCAATATATTGAATTCAAACGAAGTACATAAGACTTAAAAACACTTCTGAGAGTTACATAAAACTTAAACACACTCCAATTAAACCTTACTGCTAAGCACCCAAACCTGCTGAAACAAAGATAAACACCACCCAATCCCCTCCTTAGCTAGTTTATCAGCCTTGCAGTTACAGCTCCTAGGAATCCACCTCACAATAATATCATTCACAGAAACAATAGACACTAAGTCCTTAACAAAATTAATAAGAAAAGTAGGAACTGTGGCTTGATTTTGAATCCAATCCACTGCTTGCTTACTATCACTTTCCACAATGAGTCTTCCCTTCGACACCCAATCGGAGGCGACAAAGATTTATATGCCTTTTTTGATAGCTTTCAATTCTGCTAGAATGATAGGAGTAAGACCAACATTTTGTGAAAATGAAATAAGCTCCGTTCGATTCCAATCTCGCAGAATACCCCCAATTCCAGCAATCCTCCCAGCTCTACTAACAGCTCCATCCACATTCATCTTATAAAAATCAATAGGAGGAGGAGTCTAACATACCTTAGGCCTATTCAAATCCTTCAATGCAGAGAGCTTATCTGCCAGTGAAGGATCACCAATTAAAGAATCCACCTGAGTAGAGATATTCGGATACTTTGCTAGGAGCCATTTTGCTAATCTGAACCGAACAGTGAAGAACAAAGAGAAACTGTCCAGTTTTTGTTTTTCAAATATTATTTCATTTATGATCTTCCAAATTGACCATAAGACTTCCCCTGGAATTAACTTCCACATAGCTGAATATGGCCTCAAATCAGACCAAGAGCTTAGAAGGGACGGAGGATCATCGGGTAAAGCGAACAGAATACCCCAAAAGGCTATTACTCTGTTCCATAATTCCCACGAAACTTGGCAAGCAATAAAAAGATGCTGAACAGTTTCTTCACATGGATTACATAGAGGGCAAAGAATATCATCCCCAATAGAAACCCCCTTTTCTTTAATGCCACTCTCATTGCAACTTTTTTATGGGACACTTGCCAAAGGAATGTCTCGACCCTAGGAGGGACTAAACCCATCCACACACATTTATTCCAGAGAAAAGAATCCTCATTAGAAGAGGAAAAAGACTTCCTGCAAGCAGTTACTGAGAACAGCCCCTCACCTGCACCGTCCCATAGCAAACAATCCTCAATTGAATCAATTAATTTAATGTCTTTAAGTCTGTCCAGAAGCTCTACCAACTGATCCACTTCCCAATCGCAAAGATTCCTCCTCGTCTTAATATTCCACTCACATCCATTCGAATCAAAACTACCAAATTCTGCAACATTGCCCATTTGGTTTGAAGATAAAGCATAAATCCTAGGAAAAAGAACTCTCAAAGGTAAATTCCCTAACCAAATGTCATTCCAAAACGAGATGGAAATGCCATTCCCTACTTGAAGCTTTGCGTGGGATCTAAGGCAACCTCCAATGAAATCATCTTTGGTGAAGTTATTCACAATTCCCCTCCAAATCCAAGAGTCCTTGATAGAGATGACCTTGGTAATATTCATAGAATGGCAACTAGCATTGTGTTTGCTACATAAGAAACTCTTCCACATCGAATGCTTCTCATTAGCAAACTTCCAAACCCACTTTTCCAACAAAGCTCGAATAATAAGATTCAAAGCAGCAACTCCCAAACCTCCACCAGTAATCGGTTTGCAAATCTTGTTCCAACTTACCCAATGCATTTTCTTCTTCTCAACCCCTCCACCCCATAAAAAAACTGCCATCAAAGAATTTGACTTCTGACATATAGAAGATGGAATATTGAACATAGAAAGATAGAAGACATGTAAGGATGACAATACTGATTTGATAAGTACCAATCTACCAGCCATTGACAAAGAAGAAGCTTTCCACCCTGCCAATTTTTTATTAAAATTATAGAATAATGGCTCCCACAATTTCACGTAATTTCTTTTAGCCCCCAACGGTAGGCCTAAATAGACCGACAGAAAGGAACCAATATAACAACCAATAGCCGAAGCCCAATCTCCCAGAAGATCATCCTCCACATTAATACCATAAAGTTTACTTTTAGCAAAATTAAGGTGAAGCCCCATTATTAAGCTAAAAATCCTCAAAACTCTTCTAACATTCTTAATTTGGGTAATGGAAGCATGACAAAAAATAATTAAGTCATCTGCAAACTGAAGATGAGACAAAGTGAAATTGTTTTGATTCATGCCGAAAGAAAACCCTTGAAATAGGCCAAAATCCACAGCTTTCGATAACATCATATGAAGTAATTCACCAACCACATTAAACAGGAGAGGAGAAAGACTACAACCCTGTCTCAAGCCTTTAGCAATAGGAAACTCTTCTTTAGGTGACCCATTCACTAAAACAGAAATTGAAGCGGTGGAAATACACTGTGAAATCCATGAACACTACCTATCACCGAAGCCCATATCTTTCATAAGCCTTAAAAGAAACTGCCAATCTACAGAATCATATGCTCTACTGAAATCCACTTTAAAAACAACCCCTTTAAGCCATTGTTTCCTCCAAAAGTCGATTCCTTCACCAAATACGCACAATCCAACAATTGCCTCCCCGGAATAAAAGCAAACTGAGTGGGGCTTACAATATCATTAACACAGGAAATAAGTCTCTTTGAAAGAACTTTCAAAAAAAATTTATACAAGCTGCCCACAAGACTGATAGGTCTATAGTCTTCAATACTGTATGGATTACCTTTCTTTGGAATCAAGGTAATAAATGCATGATTCACCCCATGAATCCACCTCTTCCCTTTATAGAAATCTAATAAAACACCATGATATGCTCTTTCAAATCCTTCCAATATTTCTTGTAGAAGCCCATGTTAAAACCATCCGAACCGGGTGCCTTTGTACTTTCAGAGGTTGAGATTGCTTGCCAAACTTCTTGCTCAAAAAACTCTACTTCAAGATACTCCCTTTGAGCTACTGTCAGTTGTTTAAAATCAAAATTAAATCCATCAACTTCCAAAGTTGATCTGTCATTGTATGCATTCTTGAAGAAATTGAGCACACATGCTTTTATCTTTTCTGGATCATTAATGACCCCACCTTCAGATTTCAATGAATGGATAGTATTAAATATGTTCCTCTTCACAGCAGTAAGATGAAAAAACCTTGTATTTCTATCTCCATCTTTAATCCACTTATTTCTTGACTTTTGACACCATATTCTCTCTTCAATTCTCAGCAGCCTCCATAACTCTTTCCGAGATTCTACCAATTGATCCCACTCACCTGAAGCCAGAAATCTAGCTTGCAACTTTCTGTCCAAATCACTGATTTTAAATTCCAGCAGCGAAATGAACTCTGCCAGCCCTCTGTGACTACTTCCAGACCAATTCTTTATTTTAGTTTTAGCAGCCTGCAGCATCCTGAAAATGCCCTATTTATTTTTCTTCTTTTTCTCGACTGCCAATGATTCTTTAACCAACTCATCAAAACCTTGTTCTTCCAAAAGAAAGTTAAAGAACCTAAAAGGTTTAGGTCCCCAATTGATAGAAATATCCTCCAACAAGACAAGATTATGGTCTGAAATTGATTTCGGTAAAAGGCATTGTGCAATATTAGGAAAACTGTTAAGAAATCTGGCACAAATTAGGAACCGATCTAGTCTAACCCATGTTGAAGATTCTCTATTGCTACACCACGTGAAAGGTCCTCCCGACATAGGGAAATCAATAAGGTTAGCTTGTTGCACAAATGTTCTAAAAACATCGATGGAATGCCAATTTTGTGATTTCCCTTGCTTTTCTTTCGGATCAAGATATGCATTGAAATCTCCCCCAATACAAACTGATAGATTCAGAGAAATAACATAATCCAACAGCTCCCCGTATAACTCCTCCTTTTCAGCTTCGATAGGCGGCCCATAAACATTTATAAATGCAAACTCCATTTAACCATTAATAATTTTCCCATTAAAGGCAGAAACCTACTATGAACGTGATAACCTGTTACTTGAAAAACACTTTCATTCCACATACTAATCAACCCCCCAATGATCCTTGAGTTGGAGACACCAATACTCCCTTGAGCAAATTACTCCCTAACCTCCTCGTAATCGCCACATGGCATTGTTCCAGCTTAGATTCTTGAATGAAAAGAAAAACTGGTTTTATCTTCTTTACTTGCCTTGCGACTGCTACAGACTTCTCAACTCTCCCTAGACCCCTTATGTTCCACGAAATAATACTTGTATTCTGCATATAAAATACTCAACCCAAAAACCATAATACCCACCTTGCAAACAACCTAAACTGACCAACAATTAACCTTCCCTTACTACCTCTGAACCTTTCTCAAGACTTAAAATCTTTTCAATAGAAGCCTCTCTCCCTTCCTTAAATGAAATACCTAACAATTGACAAACTTCCCAAGTAGCCAATGCTTCCTCCAGCACCTTTGAAAAAGGGGATGAAGAAACAATTGTATTATTGACCACCTCCAATGCTTCATTGATTAAAGCTCTTTGTTGCTTCTAAGATTTTTTACACTCCTTGAAGTTGTAATCGAAACTGCTCCCACACTCTCAGGACATTTGCTGCGAATTAGGGGACCAACGTAGTATTCTGAAGATTGACAGAACAAATAAAATCCTTATCCTGTTCACATCCACCAATGCTTGAAGGAAGTTGCTGACTATTTCTAACTTCAGTAGAATTCTTTTTCTGCTTGAAAATACCGTCTGAACCAGTATTATCTTCTTCAATACTCGAACAGGACCAGATTCTTCTATCTCTTATCCTTCTATACACTCTAGCAAATCTTGCTCTTCCCCTCCTTCCATTAGGTGCACTTCTTATTGACAAACTTGTATAGACAGGATAACCCAGATTCCACCACTTAGACCTCTTCACAGTGAATTCATTGGTTTCATCCTGAATAAGTTTTCCTCCAACAAGCTGACCTGAAACATTTTTCTCAACTTCCTGAACTCCTTCAATATTCTCCTCTAATATGTTGCATCTTTCATCTTCATTTGATTCCAAAAGAGTCTGAAACTTGGCTTGATTTTCTAGCCCGTCCCCTTTTAATTTCACAGCAGGCCCAGCAGGAATAATATTTGTAAATGGGGAATATGACTCCCAATTAGAGTCAGAATGGGCTGAAAAACTCTTGTCCACAACCTCTCGTAGCCCAAGACCCGCATACTCCCTGTTTGGATTAAATTCAAATTCAAAATTACCCAACACCCCATTAATATTGGTTTGCGAGTTAGACTTTATTTCCAGAGATTGTTCCCCACTATCTTCTATCATCCCACTTTCTTGACTTTTGTGTAGCCACGGGACCACCTTTGACCAAACTTCCTCAGCTAACCTTACCTGACTGTCTTCTTCCTTCTCTGCACCTACTCCATCACCCTCCTTCGAAGAATCAACACTGTAGGCATTATCAGAATAATTTTGCAGCTCATCTCCATTTACATCAGAACTTGCTTTACACTTCGAGACCAAATTAATTTTAACTTTAAAGGATCTACCATATGATCCTACAATGACAAATTCGGGTATATCGAAAGGACTTGCTACCCTTAGCAACACTCTTGCCGATGAAAGGTCCTCTCTATATCTTGTCTCCTCCGGGATGCTGACAATCTTGCCCCACCTTCCTGCAAGCTTCTCCAAAAACGATTCATTCCAGCTTAACAGTGGTAAACCAACCAGCTCCACCAAGCATAATGCCAAAGGAACACCGTCTTCATTCATCAACGGAGCTAACCAATCAAACCATAAGTCTAACTTCTCTCGAAAATCCGACCACACCTTTAAAAAATATTCGTTTGAATTGAACACAATAATACTGGCATTCCTTACGTATCCCCACCTAACTATTTTTACCTCGAATCCCTCCTTAGCCATGGCTATTTTCACTGCCTCAGGCTGTAAATGATCTTTGATGACTCTTGTTAATGAATTTTTCACCCAGCATGAATCTTGTAATGGGATGTACATTTCCCATACATTCCTTACTCCAGTAATTTTCTTACTCTGGCCACCCTTGTTTTCCAGTATATCATGATCCTGCCTCCTTCTATATCATGATTTTTTGGGTTTCTGTGTTATACATTGGTTGTTCTTTTTAAGGGAGTTATGAGGGTGCGCTATGTATTTAGAGTTATGGATTAAAGGTTATGTTGTTAGTAGTTAGTCATGAAGGTGTGGAGGTGTATTATTGTTCTCATTATTAAAAGTTAGAGACACTCTTTTCCTCCTTCCTATGTCCTTCATGTTATGTTTATAACATGTAGGTTATGAAGGGGGTTTTTAATGAGGCCTTATTTTATAAAAAAAGACCTCCTTATACGTTCCCCCATTTCTCAGACTTTGCGGTTTCACCATTTCAACCTGCTGCATCCCATTATCCCCTCTACCTGGCTTCAATCCTTCATCCTGAACTCTATTTTCCTCTGTTTCTCTTTTCCTACCCTTGTACTTTGCAACCCCCACGGAGCTCTCTTCCTATCGATCAACGTTCCATCAACGTTCTGTATTGCTCTTCTACAGCCTTCTTCCATCGCATATTGCACAAAGGCAAACGTTGATGATTTATAATTCGGTTTAACCATAAAACTTGGAATAAAGACCCTAACTACTCTCCCATAATGATTAAAATCTCTCTTAACTCTGATCTAGTAACTCTCTTACTTTTGGTGTTTTTTAAAATTCATTTTTATAGTGTAGTCCAATTCAAGTTTGATGTAGCATCTTCCTTTATATGTTTTTGCTTTGGAAATAAATTTTGACTTGATTTATTTGCAGCATGTTATCTCAGAACCTTTTGAGTCATCACCATTCATGCCTAGTTTGAATAAAGAATTTGAAGATGGATGTAATGTAACAATCAGCCGGCAACAAAAAGAGCTGAGTGATGCTGATGCCTCCACTTCATTATTCTCTACCAATGAAAAAGAGATGAGCACGAGGGAAAACAATGTTGCCAAGATTAAAGTTGTGGTATGTTGGTTTCGGGCGATGTCCTTTCCTTCCCTCTCATCTCTCTCAACTTTCTATGGAGATGGCTAGATGGGGACATCCTTATTTCTTTTCTAAGATTAAAGTTTATGCTCTCCAATTTAGTATCTCTTTATTCATTTCAATTTATATGCGTGCATGTTCATAGCACAACATGGTACGACTTTCTTTTTAAATTTCTTGGAACTAAATTTCTCTTATATGTGGCATAAGGTACGTAAAAGACCATTAAATAAGAAGGAGATTTCTCGGAAGGAGGATGATATTGTAACTGTGATTGAGAATGCTTTAACTGTCCATGAACCTAAGCTAAAGGTTTGTCTTATTTATGGTCGTTAATGTGAAGCCACTATGTGTTATTGAGATGATAATTTAAGAAGTATTGGTGCTTCTTTGACATGCCATTTCTTATATATGTTTTGATTATTATGTTAAGGTGGACTTAACAGCATATGTAGAGAAACATGAGTTTTGTTTTGATGCTGTTCTGGATGAGCATGTTACTAATGACGAGGTAATACTTGGTTGAAATATATTTCCATCCTTATGTGGTTCTTGAATAAACTTTAGGTATATTATGACCAAAGTTTTATGTTTATTGATTTCGTGAAGAAAAGGATTGATTTATTCTTTTGTTTGTGTCAATAGGTGTATCGTGAAACTGTTGAGCCGATTATTCCCATCATTTTTCAACGAACAAAAGCCACATGTTTTGCATACGGGCAAACAGGTGCGAAGAGTTTCTGAACATTCTTCTTGAATGGTGGTTTTATAATTTTGAAATAGAATGCTTTTTCATATATTTATTCATAAACATTATGGGTATATGAACAAGTATAAAGGTCTTATAATATGTAAAGTAATATCCTACATTAACTATGTAATATCTTACATTAAATGTCATATATATTAATCCTAAGATTTAGCCTACAAATTTGTAACACTTCCCTCCAAGTTGGAGCATTCATATTATTCACGCCCAACTTGTTACATAGTAATCAATTCGGATCTCGTTAAGAGCCTTTGTGAAAATATATCTTAGTTGTTTTCCAGTTTTCACGTAGGGTGGTAATCAAACCTTGAATTTTTTCATGAATGAAATGAAAATCAACCTCAATGTGTTCTGTTCGTTCATGAAAGAATGGATTAGAAGCAATGTGAAGCAGAACTTGATTATCACGCTATAGCTTTGTAGGTATGGAAACCTTAATTCCCACTTCATTAAGGAACTAATATGCCCATATGATTTCACACAAAGACTAGGCCATAGAAACATAATGTGGTCTCACAAACCAATGAAACCAAGTTTCCTCTTGGTTCTTGAGACTATATTTTGCTTCTTACGTTTCCCTGAAATTAATTTTCCTTCAACAAACAGACAATATGATCTCCTATCTTCCATAGATTGAATAAGCAATATTAAGAAGTGTCACAATGAAATCAATTTTCCATATAGAATCCCATGTCCAGAAGCATTGTAGAACTTGTTCTACTCTCTTCCAAAGATCAACAGTTGCTGATGACATATACTGACTCAACACACTTATCGAATAAGCAATATTAGGACGTGTCACTATAAAATAATTCAACTTTCCAATAAGTTTTATGTACTTCCCAAAATATGCAAATAATTCTTTTACTTTGGTTAGTTGTAAATAGGGAACCATTGGAGTACTACATGGTTTAGGTTTTAGCTAGTTTAGTTATAACATTTAAGAGAGTCCCGATCTCTATGAGTCTCCCCATTGGAGCAAACCTTTCCAAAGTCGACTTGCTCCCCACTGGAGCAAGATGGATTGTTTTGGTTGACAATCTTAGTAGGAGAGTATCAAGAAGAGCCCTCTGGGAGTACTTCAGTCAATATGGTAAGATTGCTAAGGTTTTTATCCCGCGTATTAACAAAAGAGCAAAGTATAAGGAAATCGCGTTCGCTATCGTTCACTTTGATAGCCAGAAAGATATGTTAAACGCTGTCAAGAAGGTTAACAATGCTATGATAGATCGTAGGAAAGTTTCTGTAGGGGTGGCAAAGTATACAAAGAGACAAGAATTTTTTTTTTTGATAGAAGTTGGAGGTCTCATTAAAAACTCCCTTCGTATTCGTCCACATACTAAGAAGTATGTTAACGAACATAGGAAGGAAGAAAAGAGTACCTCATATTTCATTGAATAAAACGCCTCATTACATATGAAAACACGAAATACCCTCAAACGAGGATAAACACCATTACAAAAAACATAATCACCTAAAGCTCTCACCTTCTCGACCACAAAAATCAAAAGGCAATCACCCTATACCTAAGATAAACCTCCATCAATAGGAAAACAACCCAACATTTAATGACATAACATACATAAAAACAACACCTAAAACCATTAAACCAAAAACATCCGCCTTTGAAGGGAACTCCACAAAAATACCAACATGTATCAAAATCACCAAAAAAATCAGCTCGATAATTATCTTTAATGAACCAAAACCACACTTCCTTCCCTTCAATCAATGTTTCCTTGCCAATAAATTCAGAACTCTTTTCTTTGTCTTGCATTTCTTCGCCACACGATTAGTTCTTAATTTCGCAGGGATAGGGGGCACCACTGGGATATCTTCCTTTAATTGAAATGTGTCAGTAGATGAACCATGAGAAGTAATGAGACCCATCATAAGAGCATCTTCCGAGGCCCTGAGGCTAACACCATCAGAATGATCAACTGATTTATTAGCTAGATGCTCCACGATATTTAATTTTGAATGATCCACAGCCTCCATTGTGTGCAACCCCAATTTGTTACTCGGTTTCTCATCGCTTATGACACTCTTTATGAGTGAAACCTTTTCTAAGTGGGGACCTTCAATTGCAACATCTTCGACGGGGCAATTTAAACCTAGGGATGACACTGACGATCCTGACAGAGAATTCTCCAACGTTGCCCCGAGAAAACAATTCAGATCTGGAGAATCATCGACTTCCTCAGGGATCCAAGAGTTTGGTTTGAAAGAAGGCTCAACTTCATGCACCATGATTTCAAAAGAATTAGAAACGACCTTCAAACAAGAGACAAGAATTTTGGATTACGGATTCTTTAATTTGGCAGGCTGGTCTGGGATATTCAATTGAAAAAGAATTTGTTGGATTGGGAAATGAATGGGTGGCTTGAGCTCGTCGCTTTTGAGCAATGTTAAGTTGGAGCAGGGTTTGGATGATTGTGGGGTGTGGACAGGGAATGGGGAGGGTTCTTACTCGGTGAAATCGTGCGTAAAGTTAATGTATGGGTTGGTCGAGGTGGATCCCTTTGGTTGAAACATGTTTGGCTTGGTATAGCGCCACCTAGAGTTGAAACCTTTGTGTGGCAGGTGATCCAGCAAAGAGTGGCAGTGAAGGTAGAGCTTATCAAGCGTGGCGTCAATGGAATCATAGATCTCCTATGCCCTTTCTGTGGAGCAGATGTAGAATCTGTCTTCATTTCTTCTTATCATGTTGCATAACATGGGTTTATGGGTTCAATTTTTAAGGTTTTGGAATGTGTCCACGTTGTTTCCAGGATCCCCTCAAGCTTTTTTATCAGCATGGTTCAGCCTGTGTCCAAGGTCGGAATCTGGAATTTCATCCCTGGTGCCATTTTGTGGACCTTATGGAAGTATCAGAATTCCCTAATCTTTGAGAAGGGGAAGTTAGATTAAGCATACCTCTTTTCTCTAGTGAGATACAGATTGGCTTCGTGGTTCTTAGCAAAGTTTCCTAGTCTGAGTATACCCTTTGATTGCCTGGTAAGAAATCCAACATTGGCAGATTCTGGTGTTCGCTCTAAGAATCTTGTCTCGCCAGTAGCGTCCTGTCCCCCCCCCCCAAGGTTTCTTTAAGGTAAATGTGGATGGGGGTGCTAATCAGGATTGGGGTAAGTGTGGTATTGGAGGATTATTAAGAAATGCAGACAACAAGATATTGGGATCTTTCTCAACTTCTATTGGTCCTGGACCCCCAATCTTTGCAGAAACTTAAAGCTTTTCAAGTGGGATTGTCATTGTTTATTGAGTCTGAGTAGAGTTCAAAAGGAAGATTGATTTTGGAAAGCAATAGCGAGAATGCGTGGAAGTGGATTAAGAATCCTGGTTCATGTCCTACCTCCTTTGATAAGATAGTTATGGATATTTTGTTCAGTGTGTTGGATTGGGATGTTATTCTAAGGCACATTCCGAGAAGTGCAAACTAGGAGGCGGATGAATTAGCTAAAGCTGGAATAGGATAGTGTAGGGTTGCAATTCGTATGTATGGGACGGTTTTATTTTTTTGGGGAATATATTGGCTACTAGGTATTACAGTTTGGGTGTATTTCTGTAATTTGTAGGAGCTGGCTTTATTAATGGAATAATAATTTTATTGAGGTACTCTTTTCCTCTTTCCAATGGATGTCGTGAGACCTTACGATATTACTACAGTTATGAGGGGTTTTTAATGAGACCTCATTTCTTATAAAAAAAAGTACTACATGGTTTAGCATCTATTTTTTCTGAATCCGATAGTAAATCAAACACAGACTTCCTCTGAGATAGGAAAATTCCATCCTAGCTTCTGCTAACTTGAACTCCTAAGAAATATTTTAACATCCCTAAGTATTTGGGTATGGAATTGAGTATGTAGAAAAGACTTCAGAGATGAAATTCCGCTAAAGTCACCGGTGATTATGATGTCATACATATATACAACTAATCGAATAACACCTCCATTAGACTTAACACTGAATGATCCGACTTGTTCTTCTGCATCCTAAACTTCTCAATAGCTTGGCTAAACTTCCCAAACCAAACCCAGGGACTCTAATTCAAGCCATATAGAGTTTTTTTTTCAAACGACATAATTTTCCATACTCTCTTTAAGCAACAAAACCATGTGGTTGCTCCATATACACTTCCTCCTAAAGATCACCATGAAGAAAAACATTGTGCATGTCTAATTGATGTAGAGGCCAATCAAAAGCTGTTGAAAGGGAGATAACTAATCTACCAGAAGCAAGTTTAACAACGAGATAGAATCATGATAATAGTTTGGGCTTATCCTTTAACAACAAGTCTAGCTTTTAATCGAGCATCCAAACATCTATTTATCTCAGTTTCTTCCAAAATATACTTTTAACATTAAGATTAATTTTCATACTTTGGTGGAGATTATATTTGGATGTTAAAGTAAAACTTTTTAGGTATGTTTGTTGTTTTCTATTCCATTGTTGTTTCCCCTAATGCCATTCCGGGAATTAACGCTTTGTTTTATATAGATCATTTCAAAACCCAAAATCATTTTACAATATTCAAAGATCTAGGAAGAAATTAGATTCTAGTTTAGAGCCATAAATGTTTTTGTTAAATGGGGTACATAGTATTTTGAATATAATGGATAAAACTATTTGGGAGGATTAGAATTATTACTTGAAAGTTGATGTATATGCTTGGTCTTTGGATAGAGACTGCAAATTTTTGCATATGTTTCTGAGAAAATTAGTGCTATGAGAACATCTAATTCCAGAAAAAGAAGACATCCTCTATTCAACTAAAAAAATCACAAAACCCGATACGTGATGGTCATTTTATCATTTTCCTTGTCCTTTATATTGTTGAACAACTCCTTACCTTTCTAGTTTATGGTTATGTGGCATTGTTGCTAATTTCTGTTCTGTCATGACATATACTTTCAATTCAGGTAGTGGTAAGACGTTCACAATGCAACCATTACCGCTCAGAGCAGCACAAGACCTTGTTAGATACTTGCATCAGCCAGTTTATCGCAATCAGAGATTTAAATTGTGGCTTAGCTTTTTTGAGATATATGGTGGAAAACTCTTTGACCTTCTGAGTGATAGAAAGTATTTCCCTCTTCCCTTAATTATTTATGTTGTGAGCGCGTGTGTGTGTTTTTAACCTTAAGACAACCTGATTGGTATTTGATGTGTAATGACTGAAATATCTGTTGGTTCTATGTTAATCTCACACTTCCAATATGTATGCTGGTGTAATGTGGATGGATGCATATATGCACTATAACAGTTGGGTCACTCAATAATCTAAATGTTCTCCAATAGGAAACTTTTAATGAGAGAAGATGGGAGACAACAAGTCTGCATTGTTGGATTGCAAGAATTTGAGGTGTCAGACGTCCAAATTGTGAAGGAATACATTGAGAGGGGAAATGCTGCTAGAAGCACAGGATCTACTGGTGCAAATGAGGAATCTTCAAGGTCACATGCTATTTTACAACTTGCAATCAAGAAGCACCCAGAGATAAAGGAATCGAAGCGGAACAATGATGAGAATGAATCAAAACCTGGGAAGGTTGTGGGAAAGATTTCCTTTATTGACCTTGCTGGAAGCGAAAGAGGTGCAGATACAACTGACAATGATAGGCAAACTAGGTAAGCTTGAATGTTTCTGTGGGAAAAAGAAGGTTTCAGAAACTAATTCCAAAGGGACTATCTACGGATTAGCTTTATTTGTCAGCTTGTTGACTAGCTTAACATCAGGTTGTTTTTGGCTTGCTCTGATTGAATGGTTTTAATTCTTCCTAGGATTGAAGGTGCTGAAATAAATAAAAGTCTTTTGGCTCTTAAGGAGTGTATTCGTGCTCTAGACAATGATCAGATCCATATCCCATTCCGTGGGAGCAAACTCACTGAGGTGCTCCGTGACTCGTTTGTCGGTAATTCAAGAACAGTTATGATCTCCTGTATTTCTCCAAATGCAGGGTCATGTGAACATACTCTCAATACTCTGAGATATGCTGATAGGTATGCTTGTTTTTATAACAAGTTTCTACTAAACAGACTTCCTTTGTTTCTGTAGATTGTGTTGTACTTTTCGATTAAATAAAGGTTATTACTCTCCAATGAACAGGGTTAAGAGTCTTTCCAGAAGTGGTAATCCAAGGAGAGATCAGGCTGGAAATCCTTTGCCACCTAGTAATAAGGATGCTTCTTCAGCATCTTCCCTGTTAGCTACTGCTGATGCAGAAGATGTTTTTGAGCAACAACAGGAAGTAAAATTTGCTCATATGGGTCGAAAGATTGTAGAGAAAGATGTTTATGCTGCAGACTTCAACAAACAGCCATCAAAATTTTCATCAAGTTACCCGTTCAATGGGAGGGAGGAAAGTGGAAAGGCTTCTGGCCCAGTGGATAGGGATAGATTTGAAGTGAATGGTAATTATGGTGGTTCTACAAGTCAAAGAGTTTACTCATCAAATTCTCAATATTCAGCTGATACAGAAGAGAAAGTGCCGAAGGTGTCACCACCTCGTAGAAAAGCAACAAGAGAAGAAAAACCAGAGAAGATGAGGAATATGGCCAAGAAAGATGGCGGAAGTTCTGATTTGTCCACTTCAAACTCTAGGCAACCGAATGCTGTTAATAATTATGAAGCAAATAACTTTGGATATAGAGAATATGATCCTGAGCCTTCTGCTGATGATACAGAAGAGAAAGTAACGAAGGTGTCACCACCTCGTAGAAAAACTAGAGAAGAAAAACCGGAGAAGTTGAGAAATATGGCCAAGAAAGATGGAGGAGGATCTGATTCTGTTAATAATTATGAAACAAGTAATGTTGGATATAGACAATATGATCCTGAGCCTCCCACTGATGAGAATATCAATGCAATACTTGAGGTAGGCAATAGGTATGGTTCATTTTGTTTTCTATGTTTATAATCTTGAGATTTTCTTCATTCTGAGTATACCTTTGGTTTGTTGTAGGAGGAAGAGGCTCTAATTGCTTCTCACAGAAAAGAAATTGAGGACACAATGGAGATTGTTCGTGAAGTAAGTAAACTTACACTTTATCAAGGGTGAAAAATGTTCGTTTTCAAGTACTTATGTTGTGAGGCATTTATATTCATAATACTGAACCCACATCAATAAGCTGGACCGTGTTCAACGCTCCCGTCCAATATGTTCTTGGACAAGAGTATAGGATATGGCCATTCAAGGATCACCCCATATATATGTTAGAACTTATTTACAAATTGAACATACATGTGTTGGACACATGCTGGTACCGAACACTTGCGGTTGACTGAGTATTATAGATTCGTACAACAATTGAACCACTGTTGATCTTGTTTTGCACCTATACTACAGGAAATGAAGCTATTGGCAGAGGTGGATCAACCAGGCAGCCACATTGACAATTATGTGACCCAGCTGAGCTTCGTGCTTTCACGCAAAGCAGCTAGTCTGGTTAGTCTTCAAGCACGCCTTTCCCGGTTCCAGCATCGACTGAAAGAGAAGGAGATACTGAGTCGGAAAAGAGTTCCTCGTTGATGCAGTCATGTGTTCTCTGCTTTAGTTGCTGCACCAGACCCTGTCCAGTAATTTTTTCTCCTATTGATTATTACTTACTAGTCCTGCTGAACATTTACATTAAACTTTTTATTAGATTATCTGATGGGTTGTTGAATATAGGCGGCGGAGCAAATTAGTCCCTCTACCGTAAAAGTGAGCAAATTAGTTAATTGAATGTTTAACTTTAAAGTGAATAGGTAAATTTGTAAGCGGCGATAAGGTTAAACGTTAAAAAATACTAAGTTGTATTTTGTCCGTATATTAAAGATGCTAAATTTTGGTTCTTTTCCCCCCCACTTTATCACATCACTAAACATGATAGGTTATAGACTTTTATTGTACAAGAACCCCCCTGGTTTCTGTATACGGATAGTCTTAATTGAATTTACTCGGTTCTGGCAGCCGATGCACGGAGTTACGGTTTGGGCTTGAGAGGAAATTCAGCAGTGGAGAGATCCTGATCCAATTTCCCGGCATCAATTGTTGCCATGCTCATACATGTTTCCTGCAGACGCATCGGTGACGATGATTCAGGTGCTTATACTTATGTGATGCTTGGTTTATCGAAATGTATTGTTTAGATGATGAATGTGATGATGTTCTTGTTGAGATTGAATGGTTTGTGTTGTTTAATGGGCGACCAGAAAAATGTTTTCTTTAAATCATTTCTAGGAAATGAGATAAAAAAGAAAACAGTCTTCTGTACTTTTGGAACTTATATTTTGTTCTCACCTCAAAACCACCTTGTGCATGTTTTATATAGACCCAAGTTTGTTTAAAGTAATTTATATTTGCATATTTTTTATACCAATAATTTATATTATATAGATCTTGAAATATTTGTGTGCTATGTTTATGTTGTCATATATACTCTTGAGAGTACATTTTTCACCTAAAAAGCACCTTGTGCATGTAGTATATGTGTGACAATACGTGATGCCATGGATTTCGTGATGCAATAATTGTATTTGAAATAATATTTTTATAAAAGCTTCGATGCATTAATAATTTGTATTATATAAATTTTGATATTATTTGTTTATTTTTATCATGTTCATGTTTTTCAATCTTAACTAACGTTTGTATGTGTTTTTATAATATTAAATTTTTTTATTATATAAATTTTGAGACTTCTTTTTTTAATTTTAATCATGTTCATATTTTGTCGATAATATGTAGAGGACATGGTTAAAAGTTTTCGGTTGATAACTATCCTCTTTCCTAGATTGTAAGTTGAATACCCCATTAGAAATAAAAATTCACCTTCTCATGTAGAAATTGTTAAAAAAATTCATGTTCAAGCATTGGAATAATATGATATGATTTAAAAATTATTCCAAATAGAGTAAAATGTTTCACTATAAACACATCCAAGAGTTGGTTATACTGTGAATAAACTTGAGGAGAGCTCCATTGAGAAAGTAAAGGCCACCACACAATTCAACACTATGATCAACTTTTCTAAATTTGCTACATGGGCGAGTTCTAACGTACTAATATACAGTTAATGAAAGAAATAATAACATTTTTGGTAAAAAATTACTAAAACATTTTTTTACCTAAAACATTAATGTTTTTTAACATTTCCGGTAAAGTGTCCAATATTAATATTTTCGGTAGAAAAAATAATGTTCTAGGTAGTGCTTTACCGGATATGTTAACAAACTCGGTAAAGCGTTCAATAGTAATATTTTTGGTAGAAATAATAATGTTTTAAGTAATTTTTTATCGAAAATGTTAAAAAAATAGTAATATTTCTGATAGTGTCTTTTTTTAGCTGTATATTAGATTATCGCACGTGAGACTCCCTACTACCTGAATTCATTAAAGTTTTAATTAGTGACACGGTTCAAATTACTAGATAATTTATTAACAGAAACAAGACTGTAAACCAATTTGGAAACACACAATGGGCAGAAGATAAAAGCTCCTTTGTTAATTGAACTCATCTAATTACTTTCACATTACAGTCCGATTCGTTGACGTACGAACAGTGGAGAGATTCTGCTGTGGGCTATATTTGTAAAAATACAATAAGATCTTCGTCAACGGGAAGTTTTGTTGTACACTTATCAAATTTAAGGTTAAGAAACTACATGAATTAGACACAATTGAAAATATGATAACAAGCATAATATTTTCAATTAGACACAAATCAAAATGTGAATTTTTTTCCTAAAATTTTTTTGTTATCAACCGAAAATGTTAGGAAAAATTAACATTTTAGGTCACCGAACTGAAAATGTTATACTTTTTATCACATTTTCGGTTGTGTCCATTTTCCGTCGTTCCTTAACCTTAAATTAAATGATTTTTCCTTGCACTTTCCACTAGTCGCTTGGTCGAAAACTCCAGAATTAGCTATCCAAGATATCATTCTACTGTAGTCAACAACAAAAGATATAATGGTTGATCTTTCAAGCAGTATGAGGCTGAGAGATTCAGCGACGTCAATTCATTGTCAACAACAAAAGATATAACGCCTTTTTTTAGTCGTATATTAAGATTGTCGTACGTGATCATTTCCCTCAAATCACAAAACCAAAAACAAAACAAAAAAACCCTTTGTTGTCTACCATCAAATGTATCTTTTTTCTATTCTTTCTCCATCAAATGTAGCTTGGTAAGGGTTGTTGGTGTATTCTTTAAAATGCCAGTGGTTGTTTGGAAAAAGCTGTAATCTTTAATGGCCAACTTTTTGTGGGGGTCCTTGGCTCAGAGGAGTCGGATCTACTAGGTTAATTGGTCGATTGTTTGTAAAAATAAAGAATTTGGGGGTCTAGGTATCTCGGACCTAAATTTGTGGAATAGGGCTCTCTTGGGAAAATGGGTTTGGAAGTTTGGAAGTGAGAAGGATTCTTGGTGGAAGGAAATGATTTGTTGTAAGTATAATGTTGATATGAGATTTATTGTTTTAGATAATAATTTGCCTCCTAGTGCGTCTTGGATTTGGAAAGGAGTTCTAAATAATTATCGGTTGAATGACACATTTGGGTTATGTTTTCGAAATCATCTATTGTTGCAGGTGGGAAAGGGAGATTCAATTAGGTTTTGGCATGACAGTTGGATTTGTAACTTATCTTTGAAGACTAAATTTTCAAGGATGTTTGCTTTGTCGGTTAATAAGGTTGAGGTTATTGCAGATTTTGGGTGTATTAGTAATGGGGAGTGGGTGTAGGATTTTCAGCTAAGGAGGAATTTGATGGATAGTGAATATGATCAATGGATGGAACTAATGATTATGTTGGATAATTTTCGTCTTTTGTTGAAGGGTGAAGATTGTTACGCTTGGAAAGGAAATAGGGAGGGTGTGTTTTCGGTTCATTCATGCATTAGATTAATTTCAAGGTTATCCGAGCCAGAAGTTTTTTGGTCTGAGATTGTGTGGAGGGGGTTAGTTCCTCCTTAAATGGAGGTCTTTCTTTGGCAAGTGATCCACTAGAAGTTGGTTGTCAAGACTGTTTTACTGAGCAGAGGTGTGCAAGGTATTGAGGATTCAAAATGCACGTTTTGTGGCTTGGAGTCTGAATCGGTGAGTCACTTGTTCTTTTATTGTAAACAGGTTTGGGAGATTTGGATGAAATTCCTTTATTTGTGGAATGTTTTTTCAGTATTGCCCAATAATCCTAAAGGGTTTATGCTTTTATGGTTGGAGTTAAAGCCTAATTCAGTTTGGAAATTTCTACCGGGTGTTGTTTTGTAGACTGTCTAGAATTGCAGGAATCAGATAATGTTTGAGAATGGCAAGCTGGATAAAGCTAATCTATTCTTTTTGGTGAGGTATAGGGTGGCTTCAACAGTGAATTCTCTATACATGTAGACAACCTTGTGGGTGACTTAACCTTGGCGGATGTGCATCGTTCCCCTTCTAAGCTTGGTTTGGTTAAGACAAAGTGGTGTCCTCCCCCTTCGGATTTTTTAAGATGAATGTTGATGGGGCTGATAATTTTGACTAGAGATGCAGTGATATTGGAGGAGTCCTGAGGGATGATGATAATAGGAGGTTGGGTTCCTTCTCAAGAGCGACATGACCATGCCCTCCGATACTTGCAGAGATTTTAGCGATCCAAGCAGGGATTGAATTGTTTTTTGAATCGGTTTGGAGGGATAAGAGGATTATGATTTTAGAGAGTGATTCCTATCTCGCTTTGAAGTGAATCAACAATCCGAATCTTTGCTCGGTTCGCTATGTTGATTCGGTTAGTGTTATTCAGAAGACTGTGTTGCATTTTAATGTTATAACTAGGCATGTTAACAAATGTATTAATGGGGAAGCTGATTGTTTAGCTAAATCAGGAACATGATAGTGTGATGATAGGTTTTTATATCGGTGAGTAAGGGGGTGGGTTATTGTAATGGGTGTCGTTGTATTGTTTATGTTTGGTTTTGGTTGTATTTCTAATGTTTGACAATAAAATTATGGGCACTCTTTTCCCCCTTCCAATGACTATGGAGTTCTAAAAAACTTAATAGTTATGAAGAGGTTTTTAAATGAGGCCTTATTCCTATAAAAATGTATTTTTTAGGAACAAAGAACGAAGAGGATAATTGGACGTGCTAAAGAAATAAATGGCCTATATTACCTTGAAAACCTTGGTGGACAAGTCAATGGCTCGAATTCCCAACCTTTTTCACTTTTATCAGAATCTAAAACCAATAAATACCAAATATGGCTTCATCACCTCCGCCTTGGTCACACATCCTTTAAAGTTATAAAGCTTATGTTTCCTTGTTCAAATCCTTATATATTGAAGAGTTTCATTGTGACATATGGAACTTGCAAAGCATAAAATCACTTCGTTTCTAGTGAGTAATAAAAAGACCTCCAACCTTTTTACCCTTATTCATAGTGATGTTTGGGGGTCATCTACTATCCCAAATATAATTGGGGTCCGATGGTTTGTCTCATTCATAGATGATTATACATAGATGTAATGGATATTCCTTCTAAAACATAAATCATATGTAAGCTCTACCTTTAAAACCTTTTATACCATGTTTAAAATTCAAGTTGGGGAAGACATAAAATGGTTTAGATCAGACAATGCTAAGGACTATTTCAACAAAGTCCTATAACTCGATTTTCAAGAGAAAGGCATCATACATGATTCCTCTTGTGTGAATACCCCTCAACAAAACGATGTGGCAGACATAACAAGAGCTCTTTTGTTTTAAAAAAAATGTCCCTAAACAGTATTGAGGGGAAGTTGTGTTAACTACGACCTATATGATAAATAGATTACCCACTAAAGTCCTTGAATCTCAAAGTCCTATTCAAATCCTAACCAATTTCTTCCCAAATTTTAGTCCCTCACTGAACCTTAAACAAAAAATATTTGGTTGTGCTGCCTTTGTTCCTATACACTCTCAAAATAGGGGAAAACTTGATCCAAGGGCATTAAAATATATTTTTGTTGGCTACTCTTCCACTAAAAAAGGGTACGAGTCTTATCATCCACATACAAGTAGACAATTTATTTCTACTGATGTTACTTTTGCAGAAAAGAAATTTATTTTACTCGCCCTTATCTTCATGGGAGTTTTCATTCAGAAAAGATAAGGACATAGACTGTTTCCTAATTCGGCCTCTCATTGATTTTCCTGCACCAATTCAACAGCCTATTTCTGTCTAGTATGTCTAACAGCCTGTTCTTGATCAGCCTATCACCTTACAATCTGAT